CTGATGCCCAGCTGGTGTGGCTCAGTTGTTTGCGCATCATCCCATGCACCAAAAGGTCACCCATTCGATTCCCAGTCAGGATGCATGTCTGGCTTTCAGGGTTGATCCTCAGTAGGGGGCATGCAGGAGGTAACCCATCAATGTTTCTCATCGATGTTTCTATATCTCTCCCTCTCCCTTCCTCTCTCTGAAATCAATAAAAACATATTTTTAAAAATATTTGTGCTGAATGTCTTGCTATTATCTAATCCAGCCCACCCATTTTACCAATGCGAATCCTGAGGCTAGCGAAGAGAAGTGACTTGACTGAGTCAATGCAGAGGGATCCAAGTCACTTCAAGGCCTTGAACCAAGGTTCTCCTGGCAGGCTTCCTCCCTTCATTTGGCTCAAATTAGAGAGCTTTGGCAATAACCTTGTAACTGAAATGAGCAGGGATGGGACTCCAATGCCATTCAAAGCCAATTCCAAGTAAATCTTCCTTCTCCAAACTAGAACCACCCCTCCCTCAGAAGGTCAAAAAATTCCAAGGAAAACCTTGGGAATTGAATCTACCTTATGTAGAGTTGAGGAGTCAATTGAATCCTAATCTTCTCTGCTCTCTAAAATCTTGGCTCCTCCATTTGGGTGATGACCTTGAGCTTTATCAGACCTATTCTCCTAGCCTGAAATGGAACCACTTCTTTATTCCTTTCTTATCATTTCCTGAGCACCTACTAAACACCAACCTCTGTTTTAAGTTTGCTGAATCAGAGATGCCTAAAATCACATGCCTGTCCTTGGGTAATTCAGCCAACCAGGAAGGATAGAGATGATTAATAATATTCATGATGCAATGGGGAGAGCTCCCTCAACCTTAAAATAGACCTGCTCTTCTAGGGCGAGTTCTTGCCAGACTAGATCTCAGGGGTGGAAGCAAGGGGAGACCATGTTCCTCTGGGGGCTGCCACCACCCACCAGGAGCATTCTTCCCAGGAAGACAGACACCTGATTTTTCTACCTCTAGCATGGTGCAGCTAGTAGATACTCGTTCACACTGGGTGATGGGAGTGGCACATTAATAAATGGCATCACAAATATTTATCAGCAAGCATTTACCATATACGAAGTGGGAAAATAAAGAAAAATTTATCTTCAGTGTGGTGTCAATTTCTGCCATCACAAAGCTAAAAATCTGATTATATGTCATAAAAACTGGAGGAATGTGAAAAGAGCATGGGTTTAAGAGTTTGGACCCCTGGGTCTTGATCTATTTTTTAGCAGAACATCATCCTTCTTTGCTTCAGTTTGTTCATCTCTACGTTTGGGCAGGGCCAGAGTATGCCCTGGAATTGCAAGAGTGGTGCCGCCTGATAAATGTTTACTTGGTTTGTTTTTCCCTTAAAGTTTGGGTTTTCTTTTCTTTGAGGTGATTTAAGGTCTGAGCTAGGTTTGTGGGAAGGAAGAGAAGTGAAGCCAGGATCAGGTGGGAAGCTGGGTAATAAAAGCCAGAGGAGAATGATGTGCTACAGGAGGGAGTGGCCTGGGAGAGGGATGAAGAGGAGATGCAGGAGAGGAAGCTGTCAGAAGGGCCACTTTCCATGGAGGTTAGAAACAAGGACCTTTGCTGATGCCACTGAACAGCCCTAGAGAGGGGAAGGAACCAGTGCCAACCTGCAGGCCCACCTAGCCATTCAAACCACCAAAATAAAATGGTGGTGAGGCATTAAGGCTGCTCAAATTGGGTCCCTTAAGAGCTGGTGGTGAGGGTTTGGTCCAAGGCACATTGTGGCCTGTGAACGTGGATGAGTCAGCAGGAGCAGGAAGCGCCCCAGCTAAGAGTAAAGCAGATCCAGACATGGCCATGTTGCAGAAAAGGCTGGTACCTACAGTAAGGAGCGCCCTGGCCCCCGCGCCCCCTGGCCTCCTGGAGCCCTGAGTAGTTCCCCACATGTCGACATGGCTCCTCGCCCCGGCAGTCCACACACACTTCTAGCTCCGTCATGCATCACTTGCCAGCAGATGCTGGGGCTACTGATGCACACCACACAGAGGAGAGAGTTCTGCTTATTAAATTACTAAATCCTGTTAGAAACGAGGGCAACTTGCTCCTAATAGAATTTTTATGTTTCTCGTGATCCTTGGTGACTCCCATGAGGTTCTTTATTCTCCAGTGTGGTGCCAGGAATGGATTCCACAGCCAGTTCTTTCACAAGCAGAACGATTAAAAGCAACTCTGTCCCTCGGAGGAAATCATGCTTTCTTAGTACTACAGAGCCTTTCGAATTTGTTTAAAATCTACTGTTCTGCTGATGGTAGGGCAGGGAGGGGATGTTTTCTTTAGGGAGGAGTGTGTGTGTGTCTGTGTGTGTGTGTGTGTGTGTGTGTGTGTGTGGAGTGGGTGCTCTTTGAAACTGTAATAGTTGAGAGGGTAATACTATTGTTTATTTTACACTATCCTACTCCTCCCTCTTTCCCCCTCAACACACAACAAACTGTACAAATGAACAAGAGAAGTTGATGTGTAGACTCACGCTGCCACCCTGCAGCAGTCTCTCCTGCTGCAGAAAGCACTCCTGCTCCAGGCAGTCGGAGCTGCATTGTTGGGCGTGATCGCTTAGGCTGGGGAGGCTGTGGAAAGTGTCTCGCCGCATGTAAAGAACCATCAGGTTACTTAAAGGAGCAACACGACTCTCACCTTGCAAGGAGGAAAGCTGACTTTGATGAGCAAGCCCGACAGTCCTCGGGTGCTCTCTGGCACATGCATTTCATCCGACTGTGCTTAGTTTTGCTTTTGTCAGACCACTCTTTCCCCTCTGGTTATCAGGAGCAAATTAGTTTTCAGCTTTGTTTTGTGTTTCTTTTTTCATTTAACACATCTCTTCTTACGCTGGTGATATCATCCCTGGAAGACTGAGACGTAAGAGGAGTGAATCATGTATCACCTTCACATCTCTTCTAGAATTACATCAGCAGAGCCCTAGGGTGCAGTGAGGATAAAAGCCAAAAGTAGAGGGGAGGGAGGAGGAAAGAGGAGGGCACCAGGAAGGGGGGGGGGGAGGGAGCTGGTTCTTTTGCAGTCAGCTCATTTTCTTCTTCCTCCTTCCTCAACCCCTACACCCCCTTCCTTATTTATAAATCAGACAATAGGAAAAACCAGACAGTTGCCTTATATTTATTGATGGTGTTGGTTTAAATGTCATTTGTCTGAACTTTTGACCAATCACCATACCCCCATCAGTCACAGATGAAAGCCGACCTTAGCATTCTCACTGGACACATAAATTGGTTAAAATGAAGACATGCAGACCCTGCCCCACCTCCAAGTATTATCCATATGATCCCCACCCTCTTTAATGTTCTCATCAATTTTAAACAGCAAAGGAACTTGGCAACGTGTGGAGATAATTGGAAATGTGAAATCTAGTCATGCAAGAGAGTGATGGCCCACACAGCTGTCTGCTGGTCAGGTGAGAACAGAGTGGAGGGCACACGATGTGGGTGCCTAGGTAGGGTGGGATTTGACTTTCCTGACCTCTCTCTAGCTGGGGGTTTTTAATGTCATTCAATGATGTGTATCTGAGGTATTCAAGGAGAGGGACAGGGACTCTCAACCAAACCAAAACCTGGTGATAGGTTCGAAGGCCTGGACCTTGTCTTAATGCCCTTAAGAAATGACTCTGGCCCTAGCTGGTTTGGCTCAGTGGATACAGCGTCGGCCTGCGGACTGAAGGGTCCCGGGTTCGATTCCCGTCAAGGGCATGTACCTTGGTTGCGGGCACATCCCCAGTAGGGAGCGTGCAGGAGGCAGCTGATCGATGTTTCTCTCTCATCGATGTTTCTAACTCTCTATCCCTCTCCTTTCTTCTCTGTAAAAATTCAATAAAAATATATTTTTTTAAAAAAAAGAAAGAAATGACTCTGAATACTTTACTATTATTTCCCACCCACCCTTTGTTTTGCTTTGCTTTTCTAAAGATAGTCTTATGCCTGAACCACTCCCGTTAATTAGAAAGAAAAATCTTTCGTCCTCCATTCCTCTATGGTTCCAGTGAATCCTAGACTCCTTAAAATCTCTGGGTCTAGTTGCTCAGAACATGTTTATGATGAAAACAAAGCAAAGGGGCCTCAGGACACCAGGGAAAGCCAGGAGTGCAATCCATTTCTGCAATACCAAAGGGGCCCAAAGGGGCAAAGGGAAAAAACAATTTGCAGAAGGCACAGCTTTGGCAGCATCTTATTACAACTTCTAGCTGACCAGGGTGTAGCCAAATTAGAGACATCTGTTTGGAATTTACAACAGAAACAAACAGAAAGCATGAAAGCCCTAAAACACACACACACACCAAACGCTAACAGTTCTTCACTGCCTTGACCTCCACACCATTCCCCCACTGGGCCATGCTAAGTTGTAGAAGGGTCTTCCACCTGCCTCCCCACCCACCCCACCTGCATCTCTATTCACTCATGCCATCCTCGGAACTTAACAACTTTCCTCTATCCTTGCTTTTCCTCCCAGAAAAAAAAAAAAAAGGTTCTCCCACTTCTCAGAAATCTCCTTCTTTGGGTCTCTAGTTCATCTTTAAAACTCCCTGAGCTGCTTGTAAAGGAAAAGATTATATTGTATTCTTACACTTGATCATTAGCACGAACCTCATAAAACCTCACAAGATGTCGGAAGTCACTCCTCCCTAAATAACCTCGCAGGTCTGAGAGTGAGGAACAGAACTCACGCTGAATCTCCAAGAATGAACTCAGAGACCAGAGAAAACCCACACTCACAGAAGTTAATTAATGAAGAAGATGGAATATACTTGAGAAGGCTGTCCCCAGCCGCAGTACCCAGAGTGGCAAAGGGCCAGAGAGGCCCCAGGCTTCCTATAAAGCGGGTTTCCCTCCCCTATTCACCTTCAAGCAAGGCAGAGGCCAAACACTATCTGACCACACCATCCTGTTGATGGACACACCCTCTCCTCCCCCCTCCCCCCAAGCATTCTCAGCAGCAGTTCCAGACGCTCACCTGTTCTGTTCAATTTTCCTCTTTATTCTCTTCCCACTGGCGGGCAAACAGAACCAGAGCAGTGCTACTCTTCAAAAATAACAAAATGTTTTATACACATTTCTGTATATACAACTGAACAACATTTTACATGTCCCTTTTGCACAGCAAAAGATATAAACATCCAGCTCTGAGAACAGTTATGTACAAAAAAAGATGTCAAAAATACTTCACAACAGTGCAAAAATATTTTACACAGTATCATGGAGTGAGAACTTTTGAGCAGGATGAAGGTGTGTGTGTTTCTAAAGGAAAACTCCTTTTTTAGATATTAGATGTCTTTAACTGTAAACAAAATGCAACTTTCTTTCCTTTTCCTCTCTTCCCCCCTCCCCCTCCCCAAACAAATATTTGAGGAATTTGGCAGAATTTCAAGGGTCTTAGTCTGAGGTAAACAACCCAAGCTCTCGCACCAAAAGACTGCACAAAAACAGCCTCAAACATTGTGAGAGTAAATTCCTTTTTCTTTTCAATGATATGCCAATGACAATGCTAGGCTGCTCCCGGGTGAGGGGTGGGGAGGAAGTTAACCCCTCCTCCAGGGGCCCCAACTGCCCCACAAACAGGAAGCTGGCCGGCGGGCACCTGACGCCTGCAGGACTTTTGCTAACTTCAGCGGGCATTTCCCTCACCCCTGACCCCAAGGGGCTGCCTCTCTCCTTCCTGGTAGGGTTTCCCCACCCCATCCCCACACATCCAGCCACATCTCCGTAGGCAACCTGAGCTCCACTTAACACAGAGCCAAATGTGTTCAGGGAGAGAAGCAGGAACTCTGGGCCTTAAGTGTCCCATTTTCCCTTTCCTGGGCGCAAGCGGGGTCAGGGCTAGGTCAGGGAGCCGTCGAGGAGGCTGTTAGGGAGTCAAGGTGGGGCGGCAGGGCGCGCGCAGAAGATTGCGAGGAGCTCAGCCCGAGCGCGGCTCGTCTGGGCTGGCGCGGTCCGTAGGGCCAGACGGGTCCCCGGCGGTGGCAGAGGTGGCATCTGGGCCGCCGCCTTCTATGGAGCTCTCGCTGCCAGTGCTCTCACCAGACAGCAGGCGCGTCACCCGCAAGTCGGCCTGCAGGCTTCGCACGTCGTTGCCGAAGCTGAGCTCGCCCAGGTCGTTAATAAGCTGCGACAGCTCGGCCTTCACGTCGGAGGAGCTACCCAGCAGCAAAGGCGGCGGCCCCGCCCCGGGTCCCAACGAGACCCCACTGCCCCCCAGCGCCTCCTCCCGGCCACTCTCCAACGTGTCCAGCAAGTCCCCACATTCGAAGTGCATGGCCACCACCAGCGCCCGCTGCGCCTCGGCCTCTTCCTCTGCCGGATCCTTCTCCCTGGTACGATCCTCTTCCTCCTCCTCCTCCTCCTCCTCCAGGCAGCTCTCAGTGTGCTCCTCTTCCTCTTCTTCCTGCAGCTCCTCCTCCTGCTGTTCACCGACCAGGTCCTCAGTGATGGAGCCGAGTTTGGGCGCGCTGCGGCTGCGCTCCACTGGCGGCTTGTAGCAGCAAGGTCCGTGCAGGAGCAGCTTGCGCAGCGGCACCAGCGGGATGGTGTGCGCGCCCACCAGCTCCTGCTGCTGGTGACGCGCGTCGTCCCGCCGCTTGAGCCGTTTAAATTCCGCCAGTGCGTTGGCCGACGTTTGGTAGAGCAGCAGGGCCATGGCCTGCGCCTTCTCGGGCTTGGACACCAGCACCGCGTGACAGCGCAGCATTACCGCCTTGTGCTTGAGCTCGTGCCGGTAAACCCAGGCGAAGACCTTGGGCAGCCGCGCGTCCGCCACGCAGTAGGTAACGCGGTGCAGCAGGTAGAGGTGGCCCGGGCGGCGCAACGCGCGCTCTTCGGCGTGCACCATGCGGATACCCTGCGCACTCACAGTCAGCTTCATCTTGGTGCCCTGACGGCCCGCCTCGCTCTTGCTCCAGATCTTGCCCACCGCGAGGTCGGTGCAGCCGTCGCCGCGCGCCTGGATGGTGGTGGCATTGCCCAGGTAGAGCACGGTGTAAGTGGGGTCCTCGCTGGTGATGTGCAGCTTCTTGCGCTTGGAGCGGAACATGCTGCCCACCCGGCTGAGCGCGCCTTCGGGGCACGCCCGCGCCAACGAGCTGAGAGCCGAGTAGTGCAGGCTCACCGCGTAGCCCTTGGGCTTGGACGCCTGCCTTGGCGGCGCCTCGGCTAGCAGCTCGAACTTGTGTTTCTTCCACGGCAGCATCTCCGGAGGGCGCCCCCGCGGGGAACCACTGGTTTTAAATCAGTGTCTCATTTTTCCCAGGATAGACTCATCTTAGGGTTTGGAGGGATGATGTGAAACCCAAAGCTATGATAATTCTAAGACATGTTGGTTGGCCATAAGCTAGTTCCTAAAGCCTGGACCCTCCCATGACAACAGACTTAGAATAGACTTTGTACCTTGTCATATACTTTATAATGTTGCTTAGTTGTTTTCTGTAAGTTCTATTTTCCCAAAAAGACAGTTAGTCATTTGAAAGCAGGACCTTAGCCAATGTTTTCCACAAATTTGATCTGAGAGAGGAGAGAGAGAGAGAGAGAGAAAGAGAAAGAGAGAGAGAGATGCGCGCCTGCAAATAGAGGGACCCCAAGCAAAAGCAGCCGAGATGGTGCGAGAATAAAGCAGGAACTCCTCGGCGAAGGTGGAAAGGGCCCCCTCTCACACACAGTTCCCAAGGCTGGGGCCAGAAACCTCGGAAACTCAGCAGCGAGTCAGGCCAGGGGCCAGTGCTCCCCACCCCCACGGGGTGCTGGAGGCAGGCTGCCACTCCGCGGGGCTGGTCCCAGAATCAGTTCCGTGCCCCAACTGCGGTCAGATGG